ATACTTGTGTAGGGGAGAGACGGCTATTATTATTATTATTTGATGTGGCGCTCCGGGGCGATTTAAAGATGATTGATGGTGCCATTTGACTTAGAGGCATTACTGTACTTCTTTGAAGATGCATCTAGAAGCAATGCAACTCTGTAACGAAAGTGCGGTATGTCGACAGGATTTTTAATTTTTTACGTTCAGAATTAGAAAATTTTACTGGGTACCTGGTTTCATGATCTGATTTTTTTATGGGGGTACTTTAAGAGTGTCATGTGTGTCCTCCAGCAAGCTATACAGAGAAATTAAGGAACGTATTCGAAACATCTTTGTGTATATATATGTCAACGAGCCTTTGCTAGGAACAAGATGGTCAGAATTTAAGACATTTTAAATATTATTTTTTATTTAAAAGTTTTGTGATCTTAAATTTATAATTATCATTCTTTTGACGTGCATAACTATAAAGTAATACACACATCTCCAAAAGTTTTGCCCCCCTCGGTAACTTTTACCGCGTTCAATGTAAGGGGACTTTTTAGGTGTATAAATTCTTCATTATCTTATGATACATAAAAATAACAGGTTGTAAGCAAACAAATTGTTTTCGTCCGAAAATATGCACGTTTTGAAAAGAATCAGTTCTAAACAGGGCCGTCGAGAGCCATAGTGGGCCCCGGGGCAAAACACTGTCAAGAGCCCCACTCCCACATATTGTAATCTATTCGTTTTATCTACAAACTCTTCATGTTCTACTAAAATGAATGTACTTACTAATTAGGTACTAAAAATTATTGGTGTAGCAGATGAGAAAAATTCATCATTCATAATAGAAGAATACATAAAAAAATCTGAATTTTATTATATAGCTATCGGTTAGAAGCTGCCGGACCCACTCTGAGACCAGATCCCGAGGATTTTGCCTCCCCTGTCCCTCCCTCTCGTCGGGCCTGGTTCTAAGCTGACATCGAATAATAGTATCAAGTAAATTTGTCGTAAAATGCCAGGTCATCTGATTTCTCAGTTTGACCGGGCAAAAATAGTGTCAAATCACCAGATTGCAGGTCATCTGAATATTCCACAGTCTTCGGTAAGTCACAGAGTGGCTCTTTTTCAAGAAACGGGCAGATCTTTGCGAAGGCCGGTGACTGGTCGACCCAGAGTGATATCAGAAAGAGATCAGTATATGGCAAATTTTAACCGAATGAACCAAAGCAGTGGCGGCTGGTGGATAAGTGCTGCAGAGCTCCCAAAAAATGCTAACTTCATAATCTTACTCAAATATTTCCTATTAGGTACCAAAAAGAAAATGTATTTTATATTTGCATCGCTGGCAGCCATGTACGCAAAGTCGACCAGTGGAATAACCTACCTACCTACCTACCTACCGACAGACACGCTTGCACAGGCTGTCGCTGAACTATTATGTATCTGGGTCACATGATGAAGCTCTGGGCGCTCGCTCTTTTAAACATCCGCGCGTCACTCCGCTACCTACACGCCCTCGGTTAAAACAAACCGGTGATGCGGTGATTTAAGTCGAAAGTTCGCTGCAATTAGTCCAGCGCTGTGCATAATACGTACGGTGTCGATTTTTTTCGAATTTTCTTGCGACTTTTGAGTTTACGGCGAGTTAAAGTTAAAAACAATAATTTTAAGGGTGTATGTATTGTGATTTTGTGTATTGCTGACAATTATCTGTGTACTATGGAAGTAGTCTTGAATTTAATTAACGTAAAAAAATTTTTAAATATACATACGAAGAAAAGATTTATTTCAAAGCAAAAGGTAGGCAGGCCATTACCAGATATAATTATAGCAAAAAACTGGTGTAAGTAGAGGAAAAAGTTATACACGAACATTTAATAAGAGATATTTATTCAAAAAACGAATGGATCTGTGGATGCAACAAAAAATGCCCTGTACTGTTTTCCCTGTTTACTTTTTGGTGGCGATAAAGCTTGGACGGAAATATGGGTCACCGATCTTGAACACTTAAGTTTAAAGATAAAAAAACGAAAACTCTAAAAGCCATCTTCATAATTGCATGGAATTTGCGATGCTAGGGACAACTAATATTATAGCTCAATTAGATTCTGCTTATTAGTTAAATATACAGAGACATAATGAAAATGTGTCAAAGAATAGGTATATTTTATCCAAAATTATTAATTGCATTAAGTTTTGTGGAGCTTTTGAACTAGCTCTTCGGGGACATGATGAGAGCAATTCTTTCGAGAATCCGGAGATATTTCTCTGCTGAATTAGATGCAACTTTAAGTGACCACCTAAAACATTTTTCGGTATTTAAAGGCACCTCTAAATAAATAAAGAACGATCTGTTACAGTGTATGCTCGATGTCTGTCATGAACAAATAATTGAGGAAATTAATAATTCTCCATTTTTGGCGAACGAAACAACGGATGTTGCTACAAAAACTCAGCTGGTAGTTATATTTAGATATGTTCGCAATGGTGAGCCAATTGAACGTTTTTGGAACTACTTAATTCCTGAAAAATGTGGTGCTTTGACTTTGACTAAGAAGACCACCCCCCTGAAAGGTAAGCTTTTTTTGCAAAAATTGCAGAACACCCTAAAATTTTTACCACAAGCCGTCACTGAACCAAAGTATAAAGGTAACAAGCCCTTCCAAGTCATTTTTTGCGAACATACCGAAAGGTAGTTTTGAGAAGTACCATAAGAAGGAGATTGCAATCCTTAAATCTATGGGCAAGAAGATCTTTAAGAGTGCCTAGGCAAAGAGTATAGTTAACACAAGAATTCGCACTTAAATGTCAATCGAACTGAAAGTCTGTGACCTTGAAAATTCAAGATATTTTACGCGGGTAAAATGTATCTAATCTAATATAACCTAGCTTTCTAATTTCTCTTTTTCGTCTGAACATTTATTTGTAATCGAATTTTGTTATAGATCTGTATTTTTTATTACAAATTACATCGTAAAGGTCTGTGCAGTAAAAAACTGCAAAAATACTAATCATTTTTCTCATGTGACAGCAACCAATGTTCTGATTGGTGACACCAGACATGTCAAAAATACTTCAGACCAATAGGGAGGAGACATCGAGGTCAACATTATTTTAAAAACAAAAAAAACATAAATTTTGTAATAACCACACTAATTTTGTCTTCAAGTGGCTTAAAAGTTGAATATTTCCTACTTTTAGATGTAATTTTTCTCATGTGTCAGCAACTAACGTGCTGATTGGTGACCCCAGACCAATAGGGAAGAAGTAACGAGAGATTTGAGCCAGAATTTAACATGGGAAGTATAGGGAGTGACAGGCCTGTGGCCTAGGATTTTATCTCGACACAGAGCTGCACGTCGCCAGTGGGCTCAAGAGCACAGGAACCGGTTACCACAATGGCGTGACATCTTTTCTGACGAGTCACGATTTGGTCTACAGAGTGATAGTCGGCAAGAGTTTGCAAGAGGTGTTGTTCCCTATCAAGGAGGATCAGTGATATTTTCGGGTTGTACGTTATTTTGATTGAGAGAACTATACAAGTACCATATTTACACTGAAAACTTTATTCAGCCTTTGCACAAAGAATTTAAGGACAATTTCATTTTTCAAGACTACAATAACGGACCGCCTCGCCAGGCCTGACTAGAGGGGGGGTAGCCGGGACTAATTCCCGGGGTCCGGGCTCAAATGGGGGCCCGGCAGCGCTGTAAGGGGGGCCCGACAATAGGGCTTTCTGTTCCCGCATGGTGATGTGATTGTTAGAAGAAGAATAATTGAAGTTAGGGATCAAATATTTTTGCAGAGGTTTTTTTTTTTTTTAGAACAATTGATTGAGGTAGGGAGAAACTTAATGTTTTTCGAGACGAGGACTTTTTTTTTTTAGAAAACGAAAAGTTTCTGTAGAGAATTGTCCCGGGGCCCGACCTGGCTCTCGTCGGCCCTGCCGATCTGGAATTTGTCCTGAGGCCCGACCTGGCTCTCGGCGGCCCTGCGCCTCGCAGGCAAAAGGTATAAAACCTGCTGCAAGAAGGAAATATCTAAAGAATGAACTGACCTCCAAACTCACCAGGGGGTCGATTCTCGACTCGTAGGAATATTTTCCTATAGGAATTTTTGACATTTTTATATACATCGAAAATGTATGACATTTTTCTACATATGGGAAAGTGTCACAAATTCCTATAGGAAAAGGTTCCTACAAGTCGAGAATTGACCCCCAGGCATGAATCCCATCGAACATGTATGGGAGATTATCTTGGCAGAGCAATATCCAATCGAGAAAACCCCCCTTTAACCTTCCAGGACTTGACTGTAGTTGTTCAAGAAGAGTGGGACAATATGCCTGATCATTTTATTGATAACCTGAACCGCGGAATGCCACGACGCGTTGGCTAATTGAAAGGAGGGGCGATAATACAGTAGCAGCAGAAATTATGTTTTTGTTACGATATAACATTTTTTCTCAAAAAATAAAATATTCTTACTATTTTTGGACCTTTTTTTTGTAATTTCCTTTATCCTGCATTATTCGGAAAGTAAATTACAAAGGTTGTGTATCATATAGTTTTGTATTAAAACAAATAATAAGATTCACCATATTATCAAAATTTAATAGGATTTTTTTTAAGAATACCCAGAGGGCCAAGATTTCTGGAGAGGTGTGTATTTATTCAAAAACTAAATTCCATTATGGGAAAACCATTACTATTATTTCGTGTATTATTTAGAAAATTTAAATGTATTTGTAAGAAGAAGCTATATACATTTAACTAGCGTTGCTTGGTTTGTTGTAACTTTGAAATCATACATAGACATAGATGTATGCACCAAATTTTAACTGAGATTATATTTTATTAATTTGCTCAAGGTTGGTCAGGTTACATAATATTAAAAAAGCTTTGTTAAAATGTAACTACAACATTTTGCTTAAACGCGACTTCAAAATTGCTTTTTTTTTATTTGCTAAAGTTGCAGTAGCGTGTCTAGAAATTGGGGGTAATTAAAAATTATTCATATCATACCTGAATGCTATAAACGCATCGCCAAGTTCTCCTCCAACGATGTGCACCCCTCCCTCTGGTATGTTCAGTCCATGAAAATATTGGCGGATGTCTAAGGCGTTTGCAGACCAAGGTAAGTTTTGAAGTCTTATTATGACGCTCATAGTTAACCTTAAAATAATGGAATATTTTTGATTGGATCTCATATCCTTTTTAATACATAAAAGGTTAAATACCATGGTTTTATTACTGACGAAGTTTCCCCACTTATAGTTGACGGCCGACTTAAGATAAGTTGTTTTATTTCATATTAGAGGCAAGATGCCGTTAATTAGAGGCAAGATGCCGTTAAGTTGTAACATACCGCCTTTGAATTATTTCACTTGATATTAGAAGCAAGTTAAGTATGCGGTTGGGGTTTGGCTGTTGGGGTAAGGGCAGTTCAGGTCGAGATATTGAGACGAAACTTGGTATACAGGGTGTTTCCGAACTTCGCGTCCAAATTTGTAGGGGATGTAGTTCGCATAATTTGAGACCGATTCGCAGATTTCATTTTTCCAAAATATTTTAAAATAAAAATAATTAAAAATTTTAGGTACGATCCTGCACAGCGACTCGCGCGCGCTACGCTTAGAAACGACAAAATTGCAAATCGCATCTGTTTTTGAATTGTAAATCCCGATAAGTAACCGATCAAGCGACTATTGCGCTACGAGCTCAGGGTAGGACCCGCTCTTTGATTTTTTTTATAATGGCTCTATTTTGTTTATTATAATTTTTTAGAAAAATGAAATCTGCCAATCGCTCTCAAATTATGCGAACTACCACCCCTACAAATTTGGACGCCAAGTTCGGAAACACCCTGTATAGATGTACTATTCCAAAAATATGAAAACCACATAACAAAATTTCGTCCATCCCACCCCCTAGCTGATATGGAGGGGGTGTCAACCTCAAAAAATTAAGTTAAAATTTTTTCAACAAAATAGTTGGAATCTACAATTTTTTCTAGATACATTCAAACAATTTCATTTTTTATTTTTGGTAAAATCGTTTCAAAAATTTCCGACCTGAACTGTCATAGTTCGGATGTGGGGGCTGGAATTTAAAAACAGTTACAGATGAGAAAAATCAAATTTTTGGCACATTTGCATTAGACCTGATTTGCAACGTTTTTGTATAAAATCTTACCACCACCATCCCCTATAGGAAGATGGAATGGGGGCATTCCTAAAAAATTAAGTTAGAATTTTTTTCTACATTCATATCCAAAATTTCAAGTTTTTTGGATAAAATTTTGAATGGTTTTAAATTTTTATACAAAAACGTTGCAAATCAGATCTACTGTAACTGTGCCAAAAATTTGATTTTTATCTCATCTGTAACTATTTTTAAATGCCAGCCCCCACATTTGAACTATGAAAATATTTTTGGGTAAATTTTATCAAAAAAATTTTGAGTTTGTATGTAGAAAGAATCGTAGATTTCAAATGTTTTATTGACAAAAATTTAACTTTAGTTTCATATCAGCTAGGGGGTGGGGTGGGCGAATTTTTTTTTATGCGATTTTGATATTTTTGTGATAATTTCGAACGTGTTACAATATTTTTTTCTAAATTTAACTAGATTATTTATGAAATTGTATTTTGGTAAAACGTTACTGACATCTAGGCAACCAACAATACTTTCTTGTTTTGTTAGTTGCATGTGCATTATTTTATTGACAAACAGAACATCACATTAATTATTTATTCTCAACGACATATAGACTGTTTATATTGAACATTATGAAAAATTCAATATGACACCAGTTGCGAAAAGAAAACAAATAAAAATAAACCTTTGTTGGTTTAAAAATCTAAAAGCTTATATCAAAGAAGGGCACGTTGACTTATAAAAATAGAATTTGGTTAAACTTACAACCTAGTAATAATGTTGTTTTGGTCCTTATTTTCCAGTTTAAATCAGGACAAAATAATTAAAACACAATACACGAAAAAAAATCTTCTTTTTTAAAAATTAAATAACTTTCATAAGCCATAAAAACACACTACAAGTCGTTGAGAATCAATAATTAATATTATGTTCTATTAGTCAATGAAATTTTGCATATTCAACTAACAATACAAGAAACTAGTATTATTGGTTGCCTAGATGTCGGTAATTTCTTACCAAAACACAATTTTATAAATAATGCTAGTCAAAATTAGAAAAAATATTGCATGTAACAGTGTAACACGTTACGAAATGTCGTTTTATATAACTGGTTTCATAAATAGCTATTTCGTAATTAATTTCAGAACGTTCAACATTATGCAACTGGTTGTGTAAAGTAGTTCATTTTGACACTTGCTGCGATTACAAAAAATGTCACTTTAGATGTCAAAATTAGAAAAATATCAACTATAATTAATTCTTTAAATAAACCAATTTGACTATTCGATATGACTCCTTATCGAAACTGTCGATGCACATTCATAAGGCGATTGGTTTTTATCAATAAAACACTTCAAATTGTAAAGGAAAAATTTATTTTCTTTACTAAAAATAGATATTTGCAAATATTACAAAAGTCACATTGATTAATTTAGAAAGCAAGATGCAAATAATTAAAAAATCTTCGGGACATTCTTCGTGCAAGTTGTAACCGGTATACGGACAATTTGAGAAGAAAAGGAACTCCTTTCTTGAGGTTGAATCAGTGATGTTTCTTCCTGGCTGACAATGTAATCTCTAGTTAGTCATATCCAGAAAAAATAGGCTGTAATAGGAACGTGTCAATTTGGTGGCAATGCCAGTTGAGAGTGTTCTTCACACATTCCATTACTACTTATTATTTCCAGATTCCATCAGAAGTTGGGTAAATCTCCTTCGGCAGTTCAATAAAAGCACAAAAGAAATATCCTTCCATTATATCATTCCTTGGCTTTCGACCAGCGAAAAGCAAAAATAAGTGGTAGACTGATAAGTAGTAAAAACAGGTAATAAATTATATGAAGGTTGTTAGAAATTGCTAGTTATTTTAGAAGTTTGTTGAATGACGAGTTTGATCGTTACCTCTGTTAAAGAATCCTTCGGTAAGATGAGACGGGATAAACGATACTTTTCGATGGCAAGAATGAAATTTTGATAGGTTGTTACCTCTTTAAAATAAGCTTGGGGTAAGATGAGTTAGGGTAAAGAGATACTTTTCGACGGTATAGAAAGTTTGTCATGTTACTTCTGTAAAAGCCTTGTAAAGATGAGACCGGGTAACGATATATTTTTCGATGGCACGAATGAAAGTTTAATAGATCACCTCTATGAAAGAAGATTTGGGTAAGATGAGATAGGGTAAAGCGATACTTTTATGTGGTATGAAAAGTTTGATATGTTATCTCTGTAAAAGAAGCCTTGGGTAAGAGAAGACGGGGTAAATCGATACTTTTCGATGGCACGAATGAAAGTTTGATAGGTCACCTCTGTAAAAGAAGCCTTGGGTAATATGAGACGAGGTAAAACAATACTTTGCGATGACACGAATAAAAGTTTGATAGATTATCTCTGTAAAAGAAGCCTTGGGTAAGATGAGATGGGGTAAAGCGATAATTTTCGATGGTAAGAAAAGTGTGATATGTGACTTCTGTAAAAGAAGCCTTGGGTAATATGAGAAGGGGTACAGCGAAAGGTTTCGATGCCATTCCTGTAGAAGTTTAAAAAATTGTAGAAAATATAGATATCTATTAGCTTGTTGAGTTGTTCAATAAGATCTTATTATGCGCGAAGGCTCATTTTTTTTTTAATTCACTTATATTAATCAAAAATAAGAAATAAGCATTAAAATGTATCAATTAACTATTATATTAATAATAAACATTTTTATATTGCAATTTCACAAAAAAAAAACAATAATTGTAAAGACAAAGAATATTTCAAATAAGTTCAAGTTTATGATATCACATCATAAACTTGCTCTTCCACTTAACGCGCAAGTACTACTATTTATAAAATTAATTTATTAAGACGAAAAATCTTTTTTTAATTATAGTTTTATTTTATATATTCAACTTTAATTTTAGCTATTTGTTTGCAGATGTGTTGTTTTTTTTTAATTTTTAATTTTAAGCTGTTTCATGTACTCAGGAATGCTATTATAAATTAAACAGATTTGATAACTGAAATATCGTCGAAATATTTCAAGTTTAAATGCAGGAAGACTTAATACGCCCTAGTATTGAGAATATGCACATCAGTACAGTATTTAATTTTGAAGTATAAATATAGAGGCGTTTTGTTTACAATAATTTTATGGAAAAGCATAGCTGCATGTAATGTCCTATGTTTCATATTCAACCACCCAATCTCTTTTAATATTAATGAAATTCTTTCTTTTCTTTTAATTCCAAAACTTAGTCTTAAGCAAGAATTTTGTACTTTTTGTATTTTATTGATATTCTTTTGTTAAACATGGACCACAGAGTGTATCAGAATAATTATAAATTGACAGAACAAGTAGTAGTTTGTGCAACAACATGGCCATATCGCACGAAGACGAAGTTTGAGCACGGCACCGTAGGCAGAGTGCTCAATCGTTTTAGTACGATACGGATAATCCACTAGAGTTGTACATAATTTTTTTACTACGACCTACTGGCGAAAATCAAAAATTTTTAAATTATTTTAGGTTATTAATATAAATAAATAATTAGTCCCCAAGTCTCCTAGAATTGAACGCAGGACCTCTGCATGAAAGCCAAATGCCCTAGTCTCCGATCCATCGCCATACAAAACATTTTAGTTTTAATACTCGTAATTAAATTAATTTCATACAGTTTTATTATAATTTATGTTTTTTTTTTTTTGTAAATATAGACGAAATAGAACTGCTATTATTTATTGATTCTACACAAGAATAACTAATTTTAATGTATATTTAATCTCAATAACGTGTTTATAATATCAAATATACTTTTTATTAATTTCTATTGATTTTTGATTTTTATCAATTTTTAATAATTTAATTTATATTAATTTTTAATAATTTTTATTTATTTTTATTAATTTTTGTTAATTTTTATTAATTTTTATTAATTTTTATTAATTTTTATTAATTTTTATTAATTTTTATTAATTTTTATTAATTTTTATTAATTTTTATTAATTTTTATTAATTTTTATTAATTTTTATTTAT